TAGATGTCTGTTAAGCCCAAATGCTCTAGGTCCTTATTTAGAGTTTTAGTTTCTTTACTTATTTTTTGTCTTTTGATCTATCCATTGTTGATAGTGGTGTGTTGAAGTCTCCCACTACATATGTGTTTTCTCTGATGTCTGTTTTCAGAGAGGACAACAGTTGTCTGATATATTTTGGTGCTCCTTCGTTAGGTGAGTATATGTTAATGAGTGTTATTTCTTCTTGAAGTATTGTCCCCTTGATCATAATGTAGTGACCATTGGGGTCTCTTTTTTATTTTTTGAGTTTGAAGTCTGTTTTATCTGATATAAGTATAGCTGTTCCTGCTTTCTTTTTTGGCCCATTTGCTTGTAGGATTGTTTTCCATCCTTTAACTTTGAGCCTATTTTTATCTTTTGTAGCTAAATGTGTTTCCTGGAGACAGCAAAAGGTTGGGTTTTGTTTCTTAATCCAGGCTGCAACTCTGTGTCTTTTTATTGAAGAGTTTAGTCCATTTACATTTAGAGTTAATATTGATATGTTAGCATTTGTATTTGCCATTGTGTTTGTCTTTCCTTTGATTTTATTTATTTATTCTTTTAATAACTTTTTTTTTTTTTGGCCTTCTTTCGTTGTTATTCGTCCCTCTGAGGTTCTGGCTTTAGGATTCCTTGTAGTATTTTTTTGGAGTGGGGGTTTAGTCGTAATGAAATTCCAGAGTTTCTCTTTGTCTGGGAAGGTCCTTATTCTTTCTTCATAGAGGAAGGAGAGCTTTGCAGGATAGAGTATTCTTGGTTGGCATCTATTTTCTTGGAGTCTGTTGACTATGTCCCTCCACTCTCTCCTTGCCTGTAGTGTTTCTTCAGAGAAGTCTGATGTCAGCCTGATTGGTTTTCCTTTGAATGTTATCTGTTTCTTCCCTCTTGTCAGCTTCATTATTTTTTCCTTGTCATGGATTCTTGGGAGCTTTACTGTTATGTGTCTTGCTGTATTTTTCCTTTCGTCGTGGAAGTTTGGTGTTCTTCTTGCTTCTTGTATATCAATTTTCAGCTCCTTCTTCACGTTTGGGAAGTTCTCTTCAATTATCTCCTGGAATATTTTCTCTGTTCCTACATCTCTCTCCTCTCCTTCTGGAATTCCTATAACTCTTATATTTCCTTTCCTCATGGAGTCAGATAGTTCCCGAAGTCTTTCTTCATTCTTTTTCCTTCGTACTTCTCTTTCCTTTTCTGTTTTGGTTCTTTTTATTTCTGTGTCTTCAAGAGTACTTATTCGTTCTTCCATTTCATCTATTCTCCTTTCATTGCTTTTCCCAGAGTTCTTTAGTTCCTCCATTAATTCTTTGATCTCCTGTGCTTCTTTTGCTTCCCTCTTTAGGGACTCAATTTCCTTCTTCTGATCATTGTTTTCCTTTATGAGTTCTGTCATTTTTTTAATCACGGCAATTTTAAATTCTCTTTCTGGAAGGCTCAGAAGTTCTTCCAAGTTACTGTCGTTGCAATCTGGGGGGTGGTTTTCTTTTTGTGGTGTGCTTTTTTCCTGAGGAGTTGTTAGGTTGCGTGTGGTTCTTCTACCCCCTACTGTCTGTTTTCTAATTTGTCGTATGCATTGGGACACTGTGTTGCTCGGACTGGCCGGCATCTTGGGTGAACTTCTCCGCTCCCCTCTGGCTCCTCCAGGAGCCATCTCTGGCTTCTGAGGGAGCTTTCTGCTGGTTTCAGGAAGTCTTTACTGAAGAGATGCCCCTGTTCTAAAATGGCAACGCGGGACTCAGTCCCTGAGCATCCGGTCTCAGGCACACTCTTCTGCGCACCCGGTCTGCCCCAGCCGTGGGTGCCTGTTCCCTCTGTGGGCTCAGACTGCTGGTCGGAAGGGGCCTGGCGTGGGCTAACTTCCCAGCTGGCCACTGTCTCCTCCAGGAGCCTTCTGCCCTTTTCAAGCAGTCTTAAGAAATTTCCCTGTTCTATGGGGTGTTAGTGACTTTTTTTTCTGGTCGCTAGGTGGCTCCAGAGAGCTCTCCTATTATCCTTGGGGGGCTGTTTCTCGCCCCCCCACCCCGTGGGACAGGGAACAGAGCAGGAATGGTAGGGTAAACCTCAACGGCTTTGGGGTGCTGTGTCTGCCTTGTGCCCCACCGTCGTGGAGAACCCACACCCCGAACTTCATGCCCCGGGTCTCAGTTCCAAAGCCCTCAGGTCCAGGACGCGGGCTGTAGCCCAGTTCAGTGGCGCGGGAATGCCGCCTTTTGCACCCTGCTCCCGTGCCTGGGCGCCTGGTTCCTGCTTACTCAGTGAGGGACTTTCACCTCAGTGAGGGCCTCCGCGCGACTCCCTGCAAGCCTAGGTCGCAGGCGCAGGGACCTGGGCAGCCGCGATCCCGATCAGCGTTTGCTTTTCAAGCACGCCAAGCGCGCTGCTTTTCTGCGCAAGCTTACCGGCCGGCCCAGGGCTGAGTGCAGGTCTCCTCCAGAGTCTCTTTGTTCTCTAATGGCGCCGGGAGCCGTTCGCTCACCGCAGCGGCGAATCCTGCAGGGTTCTCCACAGCTCCCGTTCACGGGGTGTGGTGGCTGCAATAGTTCCTTTCCACTCCCAGTCCCGCTTGATGCGTAGTTTGTTCTTGTTGGTCGTTTTAGTTTGTTTTTTCCCTCCTCTCTGCTGGTCGGAGAGTGCTGACTCTGTGGGTGGGGGAGGGGAGCAGGGTTCTGCGCTTTCCTCCCTTCTAGTCCTCTTTTATGGCCACTTTCTTCTTCGGGTAGTTTGCTGGAGTCGTCCGTTTATCTTCCGTGTCCCAGTTCTCACTGGGACCTGCCGCTTTTCTTCCCTATTAACTTTTTTTTAATGGGAGATCTTACTCGCAGCGTCTCCTCGCCGCCATGTTGCTCCGCCGCCTGTTTTATTCCTTTTGATGTAATTGTAAACAGTATTGTTTCTTAATTCTTCTTTCTGTTATTAATGTATAGAAATGCAACAGATTTTTGTATATTGATTTTATATCCTGCAATTTAACTGATATCATTGATAAGTTCTAACAGAGTTTTTGAGTCTTTAAGGTTTTCTATACAGTATCATGTCATCTGCAAATAGTGATGGATTTACTTCTTCATTTCCAGCTTGGGTGGTGAATTTTATTTCTTTTTCTTGCTTAATTGCGGTGGCAAGGATTTCCATTACTATAGCGAATAAAAGCAGCAAGAATGGATATTTTGTCTTGTTCCTGATCTTAGAAGGAAAGCTTTTCACCATTGATTATGATGTTAGTTTTAAGTTTGTCATTTGTGGTCTTTATGATGTTGAAATACATTTCCTCTTCCTATTTTGTTGAGAGCTTTTTGAAAAATCATAATGGATATTGAATTTTGCAAACACTTTCTCTGCATCTATTCAGATGATCATATATGATTTTTATCCTTCATTTTGTTGTGTATCATGTTGTTTGTTTTGGAGATGTCGAACTATCCTTTCATCTCTGGAGTAAATCCCACTTGATCATGATGCATGGTCCTTTTAATGTATTGTTGAATTTGGTTTGCTAGGATTTTTGCATCTACATTCATTAGGGATAGCGGCCTATAATTTTTTTTTCTGGTCTGCCTGTCTGGTTTTAGTATCAGGATAATGTTGGCTTTGTAAAATGTATTTAAAAGTGCACCTTCTTTCTATATATTTGGAAGAGTTTGAGAAGGATTAGTATTAGTTCTTCTTTGCATGTTTGGTAGAATTCACCAGTGAATAGCCTTTTAGAACCTTGTGAGGGTAGTGCTATTTAAATATAAATAAGACTTGGTGTTGATCTCCAGGAACTTAGAAGGAAAGAAGCATATTGACAAATATTTCTAATTTCAGAAAGAGTGATTTAAGTGCTGAAAGGAGGTGAAAGTGACTTACTGTGGAATCCTACAGGAGTGACTCAGTCTTATCAGGGGGCGTCAGGAAAGTGTCTTGGTGCATGTATTAGAACAGATGTCCTACTGGAACAGGCTTTGAAAGATTAGAAAAATTTCTAGAAGCAGTTGAGCCAGAGGTAAAATAACATAGGAGTTATGAGCATGCACTATGCAGGAGTGATCCCCATATTCAGATCATAACTCTGGCACTAGCTTTGTAGCTTTGCACAAGTTAATTAAGCTTAAAGTAGGAGAATAAAACCAATTACTTACTGTGATGAGGCCCAGATAAAGTTGCACATATTAAATGGCTGGCTTGTGATGAACACTAGTAAAAAGGCCAGTTGTAGTTATTATTACTTTATGGAATGAAGCCCATGGCTGTTTGGAAAATGACAATTAAAGGGAAGGACAGGGTGGCATGGAGGGATTTAGTGGGTAATGTTAGGGGGCACATTTTAAAATTTGTATTATTTTCAGATTTTTTTCCCATAGCAAGTAGTAGACATGAGAACACAACCCAGAAAAACTTTCAAGTCTGAACCCAAATTTCTTACATTCTGTAATATTTCCTCACAACATATGCTAGTATGCTTATATCCTTATGATATGTGTAAAAGAGCATTTGGAGAAGGGCAGAATTACACTGGTGGCTACTTTTGCATTGTTTTCAAAGTATACTTAAAATTATATATGTATACACACATAATTTTTATTTTATATATTTTTTAAACATTTATTTATACATACAGGAATTGGGGTACAGGCCAGAGATGTGGTGGTGGTGGGGTGAGAGGATTCACCAGAAACAGAGTGGGGAGCAGAAGAGGCAGACTGACTGAAATACACTGCTGAGGGGAGCAGCGGGGAGACAGGAGAGATCTGCCGTGCCATATGGGTTGCTCCGTGGCCTGCAGGGGATCGAACTGGTGTTACAGAGTCTGCGGATTGTTTCATAGTGAAGTATTTAACCCCTTGCGCCACTAGGGAGGCCCCGCACACATAATTTTTAAAGCGTACTTTATGCATGCATAATCTTGGCGTCACCCTCGCGCCCCCTTCCAGTCCCGCCAGTGGAGTGCGCACGCCAGGCACTAGTGCGCAGCCGCAGAAACCACCCCCAGTAGTGAGTTTCACTTGCTTTCCGTTTGGTGCCGCAGTGTACCGCAGGCGCCTCGTGTGCACGGTCGCGATCGCAGCGCCTCAGAGCAGACGCCAAGACTGAGGTGCTCAGAGCCGAGCTCTGAGTCGAGCTCGTAGCCTCACGATGTCTGAGATGTCTGAGGAGCAGGGTAAGGTGCCCTCTCTGCAGCTGCCCCACTACTTATGCTTCTTTTCTGTCCCCACCGCAGAGCGAGATTCTTGACAGAATTCGTATCCAGCCCACTTAAGGGGTTGAGCGGGAGGATGGTGGGATTGGCTGGGTGTCAGCCAAGGTGGGTGTGGTGGTGGCTCCTGGGCATTGGTCACTGCCCACGATTCACCAGCGGGCATAGGAACCTGGGCATCACGCACTGCGTCTGGCGCAGGGCCTGGCCGTCTTTGGAGCTTAAACCATCCACGGGGTCCATTTTATCCCAGAGGCTTGAGGTGATTGTGGGACTTGCGGTGTCCTGGGGTTCATGGCTCCTGAAGGGCTCTAGCAGTTCCAGAGGCTTGTGCTGTCCCTAGGCTTCATGGTATCCAAGGATTTGAGGTGATGGTGGAGCTTTCGATGTTTTCGGGTTTCATGACGTGCCAGGGCTTGAGGTGATTGTGGGACTCTGGGAGTCCCTGGGTTTCTGGTGTCTTAGGGGCTTGAGGTAATCACGGGGCTTATGGCGTCCCCGGGTTTTTCATGGTGTCCCAAGGCTGAGGTGATGGGACTCTGGGAGTCACCGGGTTTGTGGTGTCTGAAGGGCTCATAGTGTCCCAGTCTTGAGATGATCATGGGGCTCCCCGTGTCTCCAGGGTTCATGGTGACCTAGGGCTTGAGGCAATTTGGGGACTCCTGGAGTCCCGGGGTTTGTTGTGTCTTAAGGGCTCAAGGTGATTGTGAGACTGCCGGCATCTCTGGCTCATGGCGTTCCAGAAGCTTGAGGTGATCGTTGGGCTCGTGGCGCCGCCCCCACGGGCTCATGGTGTTCTAGGGCTGAGGCGCCTGCGGACTTAGTGGCGCTGCCCGGGGCTTGTGGTATTACAGGCACTTGAGCTGATCCTGGAGTTAGTGGCGCCCCCCTGAGGCTCATGCTGTCTAGGGGCTTGAGGTAATCCGGGGGTTCGTTACATCCCCCCAAAGGTCATGGTGTTCCGTGGGCTCTGTGTGACCCTGGAGTTAGTGGCGCCCTCCAAGCACATGGTGTCCAGGGGCCTGAGGTGATCCAGGGGCTTATGGTGCCCCCAAGGGCTCATGGTGTTCCAGGAGCTGGCGGTGGTCTTGGGATTAGTGGTCTCCCCTCCCCCTGGTTCATGGTGTTCCAGGAGCTGGATGTGAACCTGGGGTTAGTGGCATCCCCTCCCCCGCTTCAGCTCCCGGTGTTGCAGGGGCTTGAGGTAATTTATGGGGCTTGTGGTGCCCCCTGGAGCGCATGCTGTTCCAGGAGCTCGAGGTGCATGATGCCTCACCCCCACTCGCACACCCATGGTGTTCCAGGGCTTCATATGATCCTGGAGTTAGTAGTGCTGCTAAGCCTCATGGCTTTGCAGGAAGTGATCATGCCCCCCTCCCCCCCAGGGCTTGTGATATTGCAGGGGTTCAAGGGGGTAGTGAAGCTTGTGCTGCCCACCCCCACCCCCCAGGCTTGTGGTGTTCGGGGCTCAAAGTAATCCTGGGGCTTATGGCTTTTCGCGAAGGTGATTATGGAGCTTGTGGGGTCCCCCAGGGCTCCTGGTATTCCAGCAGCTCGAGGTGATAGTGGGGCTCTTGGTGCCTTCCTGCCCACCAGCTCATGATGTTCCCAGGGCCTGCTGCGCTCCTGGGACTCGCTATGCGCCCAGAAGTTCTTGGCATTCCTGGCTCTCGCAACGACACTGGGGATCAGTGCGCCACCATGCGGAGAGGCTGTGCCTGGTTTGAGGGCCGGCCGCTCTTTCCAGGCCCTCCCTCTAGCGGCAGTAAACCCATCCGGGCTGTTGCCTCTAGGGGAAGCTGCTCCTCGCAGGTTTCACCCGGCAGCAAGTTTCTTCGTGCCTGCCTGAGGGTGGAGACGCAAGCTCGGGTGCGAAAGGTGCGCCTTTTCCTTGAACATTTTTTTTGCCTCTTGTGCAAGCGCCTCAAGCCGTTACTGAGTAGGGTGCCTTAAGGCTGCAGAAAAACGATTGAGGTTAGCTGCCAGGGCATTCCTGGGAGGAGAGAACTTGCTGGAAGATTAAGTCTGAACTTTGCAGCCTCACATTTCAGCAACGCTGCAGTAGGGTGGATGGGGTGCTTCCCACAGCCTCTCCTGGCATGCAAGCTTGTGAGCGTTTGAGATTTGGCTATTTATTGAATACCTGGAGCTGACTTTCTGGGACAAATAGAGCCTTTATTCTTTCTCTTTGGGGGAGGTAGCGGTCACAGAAGGACCAAGACTCTCAGACTATATAGAATTTTGAGTTTAAAGAACTGACAAATGAGCTAGCGGATCCATCATAACATCTTTTGAGAGTGAGATGTTAATTTTGAGCATTTGGTGGTAACCGCGTTTGCTCGGAAACAAGCACTGCAGCTTTGCTGTTTTATTTTTTTTTTAATTTTTAAAAATTTTTAAAAAACATTTATTTATACAAGCACTGGGTACAATCAGAAGCGTGGAGGGTGTGAGAGAATTCACCAGAGCCAGAGCGGGGAGCAGAGCAGGCAGAAGGATCAAAGTACACTGCTGAGGGGAGCAGCGGGCGGCAGGAGAGGTCTGCGCGCCATGTGGGACCCTCCTCCGGTGGCTGGGGAACAGCCGGGGATCGAACCGGCGCTGCAGAGGCTGTGGGCAGCTTCGCAGCCCAGTGCTCAATCGCTGCGCCACCAGGGGAGGCCCAGCTTCGCTGTTTTATTAAGTGTGTAAACCACGAAAAAGAAAATTAAGATGTAGGCCCTTTGTAGAACCTGTTCTTCGTTTCTAGAAGGCAGATGCAGGACTTAAGAATGCTGCAAATGTGAGGACCCCTCTAAAGAAGGAGCGCCCTTTGCACGAGGGTGCATCCCACCTGCAGTAAGGTTGAGTACTGTCCTTTGATAGAACAGCTCTAAATTTGTGGGATCGCCGCCCTCCATTGTCATCCTGGCTTTGCCCAATTTGGACTCTTAGAATTTTATAAAATGAAGTGGTAAAGGGGATTAGTGTTTATGAATTGTGATTTTGCAAGCAACCTTTTATAAAGCTGGCCCTGGGCTCGATTCAGTTGCAAGCTTGCCTGCCGCCAGTGCTGGGCCATGGGATAAACTGGGAGGTGTTGTCCCAAAGTTGGCAGACTGTGTAGCCTCTAAAGTTGGCTAAGGACCGTGGAAGAACTGTTTTTGAGATTCCTTACAGATTTAGAAAATGATTGTTAAATGCATTGACATAGTTTTTTTTAAAGAAAAGGTTTGATGTTTTGCTTTGAGAGTCAGGGTCTCGTAGCCATTGTAAATCTGCCCCATTTTGCTGGGTATTTCCTCCACTAGTCATCATGTGAGAGGGAGGTTTCACCATTGTGAACTGTATCTTATCTGATAAGTCATGGCAACTGAGTTCCTAGCACTTTGAAAGCATAATCTTCAAAAAAAAGTGACACTTCTAAATGTTACATATTTTAAAAATTTGCTTACGGAGGTTATGCATATACCTAAAAGAATTAATTGGAAGTTTACAAAATCACTGAGTGATTTTAGTGGAGCTGTCATTAGTTTTCCCAGTTCCAGTTTGAAAAATCTGTTGATATGTAAAGTAATATTTCAGTTACCCTTGTTATTTCCTTCTGATTATGAAGTCTAAAGTTTAATGTAGAGAACCTTAGAGAAGTCTAATGAAGATAATCTTGTCACCCAGAGACAGTGACTTAAATATAATGATCGCTATTTCCTTCTGCTCTCAAAGTTAGAATTATATGTTATTTTTCTTTGAATCCTTTTCTTTTTTTTTCACCAGCATTTCTAATATCAATAAGTGTTCTACTTATTGATTGATATCAATAAGTTTGGAAATTCTTTGAGAATTTCCATCTCGTTGACTATATACCATTCTGTCATATGCACGTGCCATAATTTACTTAACCAATTCCCTTTTCTTGGGATAACTAGGTAGTTTCTAATTTTCTGTTACTTTTCCCCATGGGCGTCTATTAAGTAGAATTCAGATGGACTCTCCAAACTCAATTCCATGTGTATGGATGAGAATACAGAGGTAAAAGAGTAGATGTATCTGGCCCAAAGATCATACCTCTGGATAACTACAGAGCTTGAATTGGAGCCTACATCACACAATCTCTAACTGAGAACCATTTTCACACCACCCTACCCACTCATAATAGCTAATTTTATTTAAATGCTACTTCAAATAAATGTATGGAATTTGAGTTTCTGATGCAATGCAAGCAAGATCTGCAAATTAGTATTTAAAGCTTAAACATGTTCTTATTTTTCAGGTCAATTTTAAGAATTAAGAAAGCCCATTTATAGAGCATACATTTGTGTGATGTGCTATCTTACATATTCATTAAGATGCTTTACTGAGGCTCATATTTCACATCTAGATTCTATGTGAACATCTATTTCACATTTTGTGACATTCAATTTGAATTTAATTTGTTTTAATAACAAGATTTACTTTTGTTCTTTTTTCTGTGTTTATTGTTATAAGGATTAATATTAATATTTAGAGAACAAGTTTAGAAATTCATGGTCACCATAAAGTGTGGCTATCCATTATCAGTTGCATCATTTTAAATGTTAAAAGCATATCAGTGAATACATGGTAGCATGGGCCAGGTGGTCACCTTTCTTAAGTGAGAAGAAATTTATTGCTCTGTAAAATTGGCTGTACTAGAAATAATACCATTTGCGTATACATACATACATACATACATACATACAAATATATGTCTCAGAACTTCATACTAAACAAGTGATTTCTTACCTAACTTGCAATGTTTAGAGATATTAAAGTATTTAATTTTTCCACCTATAATATAATATTATAATATAATATATAATATAATATAATATATTTTTTAAATATTCCACACTGTATAAGGTGGTTTCTTTTAGATGCTGTTTAATGTGGTGTCCGATCTAACCTTTCCCTTTGCTCATTCTTAGATTATATTATTGTAACTATTGAAGACAGTGACAATGAGGAGGAGGAGGGTGATGATGATGATGACGATATAATAGAAGATTCTGAGGAAGAAGAGGACTATGACGACGAGGACGAGGATGAGGACGAGGACGAGGACGGGGATGAGGACGAGACTTCCGATGATGACATACTGGCCATAGAACCAGATTTTCAAGGTGAATATGATGACTGTGCTCGATCAACACAAATATATGGTAATTGTGTTAAACATCCTGTGTGAAATTTTGCTTCCTTATTCCCATTTCTACTAAATTGCTTAAATATTCCTATAACTTTTGCATTAATTGCTCATTATCAGAAGGCCAAACTTCATGGTAATATTACAGTTTGTGCTTGCATTTTCCCTTCCTTTAAGCTTTATCATGTCTTCTTTCCCCTTTTCATTCTCTGGGGAGTAAGGAAGGAAGGTAGTCTCAGAAAGCATTGGGGAGAATGTTTCCTGGGGAGAATTTATTTTCTGTCTCTGAAAAATTATTTAAACATGGTGACTATAAATATAACTACTTGGTGACAAAGCAAAAACTAAACTTACAAGGAAAAACAGCTTGTGTCAGAGTTAAATGACTCAGAAGTATAACCGAGCTTACATAATTCTAGATGCTTTGCCTTATAGGTCACATACATTTGTTTGGGTTTAGTATAAATCAGGGCAGTCATGATCTTAGAGCTGAAGTGACCGTAGCGATCATCCCAACCGGTCTCACCTGGCAGGTGAGGAGGCTGTGTCTTCAGTGGTCTGTCCAGTGCACGCATGGGTGGCGGGGAGGCAAACTGCTGTGGACTCCCAGCTCGCATTTGGTGACCTGCTGTCCCCTAAGTAAAAAGCCCTTTGGGGCGCCTTGACAAAAGCAGTTAGGAATGTTCTCTTGTTTTTTTGTCTCCGGCGCTTACTCTGCAGCCTCTCAGCTGTGAAGCATTCACTTGACAATTTGGGGTTGAGTTTGATCTTGATTCTTGTTCCTGGGCATGGGTGATGTGGCCCTTCGATTTTTAAGGGTCTATTCTAAATGACTGGCAGAAAATTTCTTGTTTTGTCATTCTCTAACCTCCAGTCAAGACTCCAATTCCATTGGAGTTGGCATTCTAAAAACATATCCGTGTTAACTTTATGAGGTAGTGAGTATGTGAAGTAATGCTTTTTGTGTGTTTTTCAGAAGCTGCAGGTTTATCCGTGCTGGATAAACAGATGAACCATCCAGAAAATTTAAAAAGATTCAGCCCCATCTCAGGGGAAGTGGATTTTGCCCCATCTTACAAAAGAGGACGATCATCTAGTCCAAGGGAGAATTATATGGTTTGTATATTAAAGCGAAAATTTTTCTTTGTTCTTTTCATTCTACTTTATTTTTTCCAAAAACTGAGCTTAATTTCATGCAATGAAATGTAATTCTTTTTCTTCTTTTTATTGAAGTAACATTGCATTCCAACACTATATCAGTTTGATGTGTACGTTGCTAAAAATCAACAAGTGTATGTAATACATCAAGTACACCACTAAAAGCCAAATTCTGTCCTTCACTGTACAATTTTCCCCTTTCACTCAATTTATCTCCCCTTCCCCTTCCCTTTTAGTAACCACTAGTTGGTCTTATAATTTAAGAAATGCACAGTTCTTAAATGTGCAGTTTGATGAATTTTGACAAATATGTATACCCATCAAGATAAAGAACATATCCATTGTCCCAGAAAGTTGCCTTGTGTCTCTTCCTAGTAAGTCCCTAACCTTGGGGAAATACCATTCTGATGTTTTTTCCACCATAGATTAGTTTTGCCTGTTCTAAAGCGTCATGTAAATGGTGTCATTCAGTAAGCACTCTTTTCTTAGAATGATGCTTTAGAGATTCATCAGGTTGTAGCAAGATTTAATTCTTGTTTATAATTGAGAAATATTTTATTCTATGAATATGTACAATTTTTAAATATGTTCTCCTTTTGGTGAGCATTTTGAATTGTTTCCAGTTGTTGGCAATTATGAGTGAAGTGGCTATGAACATTATTATGGAATCTCTTTGTGAACATATGTTAATGTTTAATTGATAATACTTGAGTAGAAATGCTGAGTCACAGGGTAGATAAAAGTTTTTAAGAAACCACCAGTTTTCTGAAGTGGTTGCACTGTATTACATTTCTGTCATCTTCAGCTGCGTTTCTTGATTGCTGAAGCTGAATAAAATAGATTATTAAATTATATATAATTTAGCAAAATGATTTTTAAATTTGCATAAGGATGAGGATAGTCATACCTCCTAATTAGTATAAGCAGTTCTCTTTAATTTCTATCAGTCCCAGTATTTTCATCTCTGGGGATAATGTTAATTGCCTCCCAAGAATCATGGTTTCTGATATAACTATGTGAAAGTACTTTGAAAAGCGTCAAGCTGGCAATATATAGTTCAGATAATCACTAATTCATGTTACAATTCCATATAATTTTTGCTGTCTCATAAATTTGTAATGCAGGGCTAACACAGATAATTTTTAAAACAAAAACATTGATCACTACTTGGTATGTTTTCATTAGAATTATTCTTCTAGTCCATACTACCTCATTAGAATAGTCTTTATAGCTAAATGTAATGCTTGTTATTTTCTAATTGCTTATTTATGCCATCTTTGACTCCAAAAGGAAACTTAGAGATTCATTTACTGGGAAAAATAAGTACTTCAGTATTTCCTTTTTTGTCCACAGAGTGTCACTGTTGAATTATTTGAAAATCAAAAGCCCTCTCTAGCTTTTGGTTCTTTGTTGTGGTTAGAAATATTTTCCTCTAAAGCAGTTCTGGTGCTAGATTACCAGAAGATTAGTCTTTCTACCCTGAAGTATGAAGGACTTCAGCCTGATAGGGAATGGTGTCTTAAGTGTAACTGGGTTAATAAGAAAGCGGGTCTGCGAACACATCTTTTCATGTTATTGTAGTCTGGCACTGGGCAGAATCCTTTAGGCTTTTGGCACTCCTTGAAAGCAAAATGGACGTGCTGAATTTCTCCTACAGTTCTTTCTTTCCTATTTCTTTTTGGTCTGTTAATAAATCTTCCGTAGGCGAGAATATGAATACTTGATTGTGAAGAAGGCAGTCGTGTCATTAATGAATGTGGATCTCACTGAATATTTATGTAATATTAATTGCTAGTTGCCAGATAGGTTCACACTCTTATAAAGGAAATGATTTCAATTCTTTTCCAGCCTTCATGTACCGTGGAGTTCCTCCTTAGCTCATGCTCAAGAAAATATTTCTCGGATTTGTCACTATTTTGTTTCCCTCTTTTCCTTACCTAACAGGAAATCCACAGCAGTTTTGTACTCCATCTCAGTAGCTTTTGTAATTTTTGCAATAATTTTAGTATTATAGAAAACGTTTCAAAAATATTACCAAGTGTTCTCATGTATATACTTCACACAGTTTCCCTTAATGTTAACTTACCGTCTAACTTAAAATTATGCTCATTGTATAACCACAGTACAGTTTTCAAAACCAGGGTATTAACAATGGCACAGTACTGCTAACTGAGCTGCAGTCTCGCTTGAATTTCACCATGGCTCCTCCCCCACGTCCTTTTCTGTTCCAGGATCCAATCCAGTATCCCACATTGAACTTAGCTGTGTCTCTTTGCTTCTTCCCAATTTGGGACAGTTCTTCATTCTTTCCCTTGCCTTTCATGGCTTTGACATTTTTGATGAGTGCTAATCAGTTATTTTGTAAAATGTCTCAGTGTGGCTATGTCTGATATTATCTCTTGAGTAGGTCGAGGTTATGCCTTTTGACAAGAACACCACACACACTAGTCTCTCTTGGTTCAGTCATACCTGGAGTACGCCATACCCATGTATCGTTTTACTGGTGATCTCGGCATCGTTTGATCACTTGGTGAACATGTTGTTTTCTGCATTTCCCCACTGTAATGTACTGTTTTTCCTTTAGTAATTAATATCTTGAGGGGGTGGGGTACTTGGAGACTATACTAAGTCCTGTTTCTCCTCAGTGTTTGCCCACTGAGTTAATACATGGGTTTTACCTGCAGCGGCTACCACTATGGTGTTTGCCTAATGGTGACTGTTTCCCTGACTTTTTTGTATTAATTAATTGGAATTCATTTGTAAGGATGACCTGTTCTCCCTCCCCCACTCATTTATTCAGTTATATATATTATTACTAATATGGGCTCATGGACATTTATTGTATTATATAAATTACAATCCAGTGTTATCATTATTTATTTCATTGATCATATGCTCCAGTTTTGGCTATTGGGCGCACCTTCCAGTTGGTTCCTGTGGCCTTTTGACATACCCCACTTGTGGGGGAAATACTTTCTTATTTTATGACATCACAAGATGTTCAAGGCTCATTTCATTTTTTTTAAAGATTTATTTATTTATACATACAAGAGCTGGGGTACAGGCCAGAGGTGTGGGGGGGTGAGAGGATTCACCAGAGACAGAGGGGGGAACAGAACAGGTAGACTGACTGAAATACACTGCTGAGGGGAGCAGCAGGTGAGACAGGAGGGATCTGCTCCGCCATGTGGGTCAGCTCCCTGGCCAGGGATCTAACTCGTGTTGCAGTGGCTGTGGACTGCTTCATAGTGCTGTACTTAACCCCTTGCACCACCAAGGAGGCCCCCAAGGCTTATTTGTACTTTCCCTGCCCCAGCTCTGAAATTCTCCTTTCTCCAAGGAACCCTGGCTACATTTATTGTAGATGGTATTTGGAAACCAAAATCCGGACCCCAGGTGTATACAGTGCTGCTCTTGGGTCATATCTTAGGTCCTCTCAATAGACAGGACTAGGGAATAAATGTAAGTATTCTAGTCCATGCATACACATACATCTGTAAATTTCCACATCTGTCTATATATATCCACTATAGACTTTGTTCATACTGATATTCAGTAGCCTTGCTTAAGGCTGGGCTCTTCTAACTTCTTTCCTTACTCCCTTTTAAAATCAGCTCTTTCTCATTCTCATATAAATGCAGAATTTATTTTACTTTGACTCTGCTTTATGTTAGAAGACTGTAATTCTTTTGAAACATAGGTGAAAAAGAAAGATAAATATATAGACTTATTTTTTCTAGTACTTAATTTGACTCCTAGTTGTATTAAGTATATTGTATTACTTTTATAATATTAATCGGAGAGTAATGTATTTGAAGTTTTCTATGATAAAATCATCAAAACCAACTTATGGAACACCACTCCATCAAAGTTCTGTCTCTTAAATGTAGAGTTCTAAAGCATTGGGTTAAAATTTTCTTTACCTCATTAAGTATCTTTAAACTCTGCAGAGTGAAACACTCACTGCCTATTAGTTCACACCGTCATTCTATGGAAACAGACTCTGACCTTTTAGCAGATTTGAAAATTTCTTTCCTAAAATAGCACCTTCCTTGATGTAAAGTGACTGCATAAGCAGGAGAGCTCAGGAAACTGTGGCGTGTCTGCTCTCCAAGACGAGGGCTTCTCAGATGCTGTGTGACATGGAGCGGCCAAGTAGGAGCTTGGGGCTCCTCTTCTGAGCCGCTGTTCTCTGTCACCATGAACCAGGCATTGTGTGGGAAACAAGCAATTTCTTGAGAACTTTCTTTGTTTCTAGCAGTAAACATTTAGCTTAATATTTTCTTATTTGTTAATTTTCTTTTGAAATAGGAAATGCTAAATGTATTTATTATTATTATTTAATATTTAAATATTTATTATAATAGGGTTTGCAAGAACTTATTAAAAACATGAGTTGGCAGATTAACCACCTTTGTGGAATTATTTCAAATATGCAACGTTGCTGGAATGAGAGAACATTGTCACTGAATCGTGTAAGTGTTGGAAAAACATTTTTATTACTTTGATAACCCTCTTGTTCCTAAAGAGACCAGTCAGTTAGAAGTGAGAGAAAACTAGTAATGTGTGAGATTAGCAAGGCTGTCTAAAACCATTGGATGAGTGCTATAAAGTTTAGGTTTGAAAAATTACAATAATGGATATACATAAAAATGTTTGTGACCACAATGTCTGAGATGCAGTCACAACGTGGGTTAAAGAGCAGAACCATATACTGAAAATTCATTTCATCCTTAAATGTAGAAAGTGATGTGGCAATGAACATAGCTATCAACGCTTCTACCAACTTTGTTTTTTTATTATTTTATTATTTTTTTAAGATTTATTTATGCATAGCAAAAGCTGGGGTACAAGCCAGAGGTGTGGGGTGGGGGGGGGCGCTGAGAGGATTCACCAGAGACAGAGCTGGGAACAGAACAGGCAGACTGACTGAAACACACTGCTGAGGGGAGCAGCGGGTGACTCAGGAGAGGTCTGCTGCGCCATATGGGTTGCTCCCTGGCCGGGGATTTCTACCAACTTTGTAATTCTTATTCTAACACAGTTGATTTATGCTGGGTTTGTGGCATTTTACAAATCACCTGGATTTACATAAAAAGTTTTGACTGTATACCTCATGGAGAAATGAAAGATCAGGACCCAAGGAAAAAACCCTAACCCATTCTGTTCTCTTCCCCTGGACAGAGAGCTTGTACCCCACCTCTCCCAGTGGAAAGACAGGAGACCTACAACTGCATCAATCCTATGGGAGCACTTCAGCCCCTGGCGCCCCCCGAGCTGCAGCAGCCCATGCTCAGGGAGAGCCCACCACTTCCCAGGGTTGTCGCCACGCATTCCCTAGAGCCGTGTCTCCCAGACCCACTTCCTGGTCTGGGTTCTCTGCCTTGCTTTTTCAATGAAGGTGCTGAAAATAGCAGCAGTGCCATCTCGTCTGCACAAGCTTCTGTAGTCATGTCTACTGCACTTGCGTCGCAAGAAGAACCCAGCTTGGCAAGCACCCCTGAAATGATGAATTGCTCAGAACTCCTGGAAAATAACAGCATGAACCCAGACACTGGCTCCTCATCTCACTTCATCCTTTCCAACTTTGGTGAGTTTGAATGGCACATATTATAAATAGCGCCCTTTGATCTCAGTTAAAAAGCATCCTTAATGCAAGCAAGTGATAGCTATTTTGTAAAATTCAGTTTTATATGGAGGTAATTGTAGAGTCACAAGTAGTTGCAAGAAATAATGATATCCTTTCCCATATCCCCTAGTGATGACATCCTGTGAAACCACAGGAAAATCTCACAGGCTGCATTTTTTTTTAAAGATTTATTTTTATTTATTTATACAAGCACTGGGTACAGTCAGAAGCACGGGAGGGTGAGAGAATTCACCAGAGCCAGAGCGGGGAGCAGAGCAGGCAGAAGGACCGAAGTACACTGCTGAGGGGAGCAGCGGGCGGCAGGAGAGGTCTGCGCGCCATGTGGGACCCTCGCCCGGTGATCAGGAGCAGCGGGGGATCAAACCAGTGCTGCAGAGGCTGCGGGCAGCTTCACAACCCAGCGCTCAACCGCTGCGCCACCGGGGAGGCCCACAGGCTGCATATTGACGTGGATGTAATCTACAGATCTCATTCAGCTGTCCCTAGTGTAACTTGTATGTCTGGGAATTTCGTTCTATGAAATTTTATCACGTGAGAAGGTTTGTGTGTGTGCTCCCATAGTCAATGTGTAGAACATTTCTACATGCTAAGGATCTCTTGTGTTGCTTTTTTCATACCATCCCCATCACACGTTGCTGGACTTGCCCACCCCATTCCCTGTCCCGAACTCTGGCCACATTGATTTATTCTCCATCGCTAGAATTTTGTCAGTTCAATATTGTCATGTGGTTGGATACATGTAGGCTGTAACCTTTTCATAATGGTTTTTTGCCACTCAGCGTAAGTCCCTGGAAGTGAAACCGAGTTGTGTTTATCACTAGTTACTTCCTTTTGTTACTGAGCGCTACTCCATGGTGTAAATGTGCCATCTGTTGAAGAAAATTTTGTTTTTCTTTTTCCAGTTTTTCACTGCTAGGAGTGAAATGAATATGAATATTCATGTACGGGGGTTTGTGTAAATAGAAGTTTTCATTTCTTTGACATGAATACCCAAGAGTGCAATTTCTGGTTATATGTTCATTGCATGTTCAGTTTGATGAGAAACTACCTGTTTTCTACTGGAGTTATACCATTTACGTTCCTGCCAGCAATGTATGAGTGATCCAGTTTCTCCATATCCGTCTCTCTGCTCTTTCCGTGGGTCTTCCTTCTGATGCTTTGCAGTTCCTTCTTTCATCATATCCTTTCAACAGAAGATTTTCCTTCAGCTTTCTTTGAGAGTATGTCTGCCAGGAACACGTTTCTCCTAGTTTTCTCCTAGTTTTCCTTGGTGTGAGAATGTGTTTACTTTTCCTTTTTTCCCGAAGTATACGTTCGCCCAGCATAGAATTTGTAGATGAGAGTTCTTATTTTATAACCTTCAAAATTTTTTATTTATAGAAACACCAAGAAATCCAGAAACCAGCCTTGAAAACAACATTAAGGCAATATATTATCCGACTGTGATGGCAAACAACTGTGGTCAAGACATTGCTTCTTTTCCTGTCTTTCTCCTGCCCAATTTTGGTGAGTTTGAAAGATGAATATTGCAAGTATCACTGTTTAATCTAGATTCTTCCATATCTTCAATGCAAGTCAGCAGAAACCCTTCTTCTAATTAAGCTTTTTATTTTGAGGCAATTTTAGATTTACAGGAACTATACAGATTAATTAATTATACAGAGATTTCATTTATGTTCACCCATTTTCCTAACCATAATACCTTGCAAACCTATGGCAAAATATCACAACCAGGACCCTGACATTGATTAAGTCCACATATGTTGTGTGTGTGTGTCTGTGTGTGTGTGTGCTCAATCTATGTCATTTTATTCCCCATTTTAAGCAATGTATCTGTCTGCCACCACAGTTGTGATTCAGAATACTTCTTCCATCCTCACTCCAAGAACCCTTTTATAACCACAACTACCCACTTTGGTCATCCTGCATCCCATCATGCCCTGTCCTCATCCCTAGCAAACATTGAACTGACCTCCATTCCAATAATTTTGTCAGTGCAATATTGTTATTTTGTAATAAAATACTATGTGACCTTCTAGGCATGGTCTTTGGGGTGTTTTTTACTTAATTAATTTCCTGGGGATTCGTACGATTACCGCATGTATCAATAGCTCCTCTTTTATTGTGAGTACTGTTCTGGTATGGATGCACAGCTATTTATGCACTAAAAGATCTGTGGGATATTTCCAATTTTCGTCTATTACAACTTAAGCTCTATGAACAGTCATGTACTAGTTTT